TGCAGGTGTCCGTGCTGACATCAGGCTTGGAGAGTTCCTTCATTGCTCAGCAATATGTGTTCTGCCATATCCTTCTGACGCAACCGTTAAATTAACAGCTTCCTTTAAGTGCGCTGGAGGTTAACAGGATGTCAATACATAAAACAAATTTTTTAGTGGTAGCGTAGAGTCTTTGTTATCCCTATTAGTCACAGTGCCAAAAACAGAAAGGTGTTTCTGCTCACAGGGGATCCCATCCCCAGATCGGTGCATTGGTCAACACCCTTCCACTGATTCCCGTGGCTTTGGGGTCAGCCCTTGAGCATGGAACAGTTTGACCCTCCTGGGTAATTTAGAAATCATATTTGGAAAAGCTCTGTGTAGAGATAATTCAATGTGGTTTTTTCTGGTGTTTATAGTTACTGAGCAGATTAATAGCGGTAAATATTAAATAGGGTCATCTGGAAAGGGATAAGCACTCTAGCTTTTGCCAACAAACCATTTAAGCACATGCTTAGAGATAAGCACATGTATTAAGGTAAATGGAGTTGCTCATGAGCTTGGTGTTGAGCATATGTTTAGGGATTCTGGATTTGGAGAACCTCATTGCTTGATATCATCATCTTTTGTCCTTAATGAATGGAAATTAGATTCTAGTTTGAGAATTAATTTTCAATAAACAAAAAATTAAAAACCGCTAAAAGGTAAAAAAGGCAGGATGAGAAAGGAAATGAGCTCATTTGAATGCCATAAAATCGAAAGAACACAATTTCGAGAAACATTCCAAGATTTCTTTCCTATCTTCCAACCTGCTTTCAGATGTACTCCAGCCCCCGGATCGCCTGGCAGGGTCGGCTCGGCACCGTGGGGAGCAGAGTGCCATGCTTGGTGTCTCAGCTGTCGCTGGTGAAGGCCACGCTGAGCGCTGGCCAGTGCAGGGGAGGGGGAGGTAGGAGGGGCTCTCCCCTCACTGAGCTGGCTGGAATAAGGTAAAAATAAGATTAAAACTTTTCCATGCAACTTCTTAGAGCAACGCCATCCATTAGGAAGCAACGATCTGCATGGAGCCAGCGGTTAATTTAAGTGCACTTCAGAATCTTGGTTGGAGCTTAAAATATCCGAATTTAGAATTACAGACCTGCTTTGGACGTTATGAAACAATGTTTGGAGAGACAACAACTTACGTTAAAGCATATCTGACCTTCTGCTGCCAGGAATACTGCAGGAGTGTGTAAAAGCTGCTATGAAGAGGGCTTCTGGTTAAGTGTCTATGCCTTTGTCCCCAAGAGGAAGATAAATAAAATCATAAGAAATGCTCTGAATCCTGCTATTCCCTTGAAGCAGCACTGAATATTTGCTGCTGTGCTGAAGTGTATCGGCATCAAAACGGAGGAAAGTTTTTTTTTTTTTTTTTTTCTTCTTCCCCAGAGAAGTCCAGCGCTAGCTAAGAATTCCCACTGCACTCAGTGGGAAACCATCTAGTCCTGGCCTGTCAAGCGTTTGGCTTTTCCCAGGGTGGAGTGTCCCCAGCTGGGGGTACGGGCAGTGCGTGTTGGTATTTCCCTGTCAAGCAAAATTGGTGTAAAGAGAGGAGAAATGAGTTATTGTCAGCTCTTGGATGCCAATTCTTTTTAACATCAAAAAAAGATGTGCTCCTGCAAGGAAGGTGGAGGAGGGAAGGGCGGTGGGGAAGAGCTGACCCTGCGGTGGGTTGCGAAGTGCTCCCGTTACCAGCCCCCAGCAGCATCAGGCTTTTAACCAGCTCGTTAAAAGCTGGGTCTGCGCTGGGCCCGGGGAAGGAGTGCCCCCTGTTTACCTGCCCACGGTGACGGAGGAAAGCGCCTGCCCCACGCCCGTGTGCGAATAAGGATTTGTACGGCTGGAGCTCAAGCATTTGGTGAGCGAGTGCATGAAATTTAAGGTTACCTGTAGGCAGCTGCTGCTCACCCTGTGGGTGTTTCATATGGCTGTTTAATTGCATGTGCTCAGTACTAATGAGTCCGACTTATGTGACAGCAACGCAAATGCTGCTGCCTCCGAGATAAAGGACTTTATTTGAGAAACAAATGCTTACCTAATAAGACCATAGGCCTCATGCACTTTTTGAAGTCTACTTTATCTCTGATAAAAAGGAAAGAAATGGTCTAGTTCCGAAGAAGAAACCCAAAAGCATTTGAAGGACTTCCCTCCCTCCCCCCCACCTTCTATTCTTTTCCCAGGTTGCAAAAATAACATCCTATAATGAAATGAAAACAAGCTGAATAGTTGCATTCAGTGGAGGAGGGAAGAGGTAGTCACAGACAGCTGGAGCATGTCTGGGCCAGTGTCTCAGTTCTTTTCTTTCTGCTAGTTCAGTGCCACTCCAAGAATGCAGACAATGCTGGCTACGACTGTTTCATATTTGATTTCCACACTCAAATCTGTGCTTGTTAAAAGAAACCCCATTGTCAGGTTGGCACGGGTCCACGCTGCCTCCTCGGGTCCTGCTGCAGAGCTGTCTGTCTGTCTGGGTGTCCTGCTCGTAACCCTTCAGATAGGATCAGGTATGCAAAGAGCATTTTGCTGTTTTAGTGCCGCTCGCGGCAGAGCAACAAAAGCTTTTGTTTTTTTCCTGCAACCACGTCCATGGATAACCCTCATAAATCTGGTCTGAGGGCAGGCAGAAGCGCTGCAGGGAAGGGATGGGGTTTTGGAACGGCCTCAAGAGCAGTGGATCAATTGATCAGTGGGTTGGAGCTGGTCTCTGGCAAGGTACCGGCTGTGCGTCCCGCAGGAGAAAATGCTTGGGCAAGCGGGGCCTGATCCTGCACAGGGCTGGCGTTGTGCCCCGCTTGAGGAGGGAACGCTTCTGGGGATGCTCCTGGTCTCGGTGGGGCCCTTCGTGTGCCTTGCTGAGTCGGGACCGGAGGGTTCGGCTTTGCTGAAGGTGGGGCAGGAGAAATGCGGTGTGCTGGAAGCAAAGCAGTGACTGCGAATAACAAAGGATCATTTCACAGCCTCTGTAAAATACCAGGGAGGGCATGAAAATTATGAAACTTGTTAATAAAGCTGAGAGGATTACAAAATCCAACAGCTGTCCGGTGCTTTAGACTGCAGACCCCCTTGGCCTTGCTCCCCTCCGTAAGCTGGTACCACAGTCTGACACCTGCTCGTACATCACATGTGTGCGGTGACTTACCCGTCAGTAAATGCCAGTAGTGCCAAAGCAGACGGAGCTCTGCCCAGAGTAGTTTGCCATCTACTTGAGCAGGAGAGGAGGGAGAGGTGACAGGATGGGGCCGTGGTACCGCAGGGTGGGATGTGGGAACAGGAGGAAGCACTGGCCACGTTTTGATTCTGCAGATGCCCTGGAGGAGTCCACTGCTGGGCTGTTGTCATGGAAACACTGTTATTTTCAGGAATCCAGGGCTGACCCTGAACAAATGTTAAAGGGAAGAAAAAAACCCCAAGGGATCAGATGCATGGAAGGTGAGACTTTCCTCAGCACAGCAAAATTTGCAAATGTCTGAACCAGCAGTGAGTTCTCCAAGGCGTGTGGGCTGGGGGTATGTCAGGGCTGGAAACCAGCGCTGTGCCTCACGCGGGAGCCGGTTGGGAGCGTGGTGCTTGGGCAGTGCCTCCGCTCCAGGTGGCCCAAAGCCCCGTTCCTCCTCCTCGTACTGCTCCTGCCCTCACCTCTCATCCTCCCAGACCGTCAGGATGCGGCTGCCTCAGTCTCTACCTGGAGCAGAGGTGATACGTGCTGGGTGGTGGTTGTTTCTGACACCTCTTTTGCTGGTCAAGTAACAGATTTCACAGAATCACAGAATGTTCGGGGTTGGAAGGGACCTCTGTGGGTCACCCAGTCCAACCCGCTGCCGAAGCAGGGTCACCCAGAGCAGGCTGCACAGGACCGCATCCAGGTGGGTCTTGAATATCTTCAGAGAAGGAGAACCC